TTTCAAATTTAAAAAATCTATGAAAAAGAAAATTTGAGACAAATTTTTTTTTTAGATTAATAGACTCCCTTTTTAAAACTGAATTGAATGGTGGTGGGTTTTTTAAAAATCCAATGTGTGGATCACATGATATTTCAAAATTTTTAACTTTTGAGTATAGATGATCCGCACTGTAACTTTTTACAAAAGATTACTATGGGAGAAACTCGTAAACTGTGGACGAAGTTTTAAGCTGTGGTTAAGTTGTCAAACCTATGAGCAAAAGTTTTATATTGTGATAAATAAAACGGACTTATTGAAGTGCCGTCCAATCGTATGCCGTACATGTGACCTATAATAGTCTCTTTCGTATTAATAATATTCGTATTCTTTATTAACATTTATTCGCATTTTTTATTATTTACATTTAATTATTTATTTTTATATGTTAATTACAAAGATTAATTTTAAGAGAAAAGATTATGATTATCGTCACTTTTGACCAAATTCGTTTGTAATAATAATAATAATTATAATAAACATTTTATAATTTAATAAATAATAAAACAAATTAATTCTTAATAAAACAGCATTAGTAGGGTTTAATTGTTAAGTTTCACCAATTTCGCCAAAATTTTTCATGGGCGAAGTTAGACCTAATCAAAATTGCCTGAATACCTAAACTATAGGTCAGTTCCGGTCACCATCTCTAGTCTTTTGCCTTAAATTATGTCTTGTATCATGAATTACGTCTTGTATCATGAATTACGTCTTGAATCACGAATTGCGTCATGCATCATGATTTGTGATTTGTGTCATGCACAACACCAATTACAGCCTTTAAACCAATATAATTGTTTCGCTTTCCATATTGAGTTAATAAATTAGGTGAATAAAATATATGCAAATCGCAAAATGTTTGTATCTCTTTAGTTGAAGGTTTTGATTGAATTTTTATTTATATAGTTTATATATATATATATATTTGTTTTTTTTTAAAAAAGTTTATAATTGATGTTACAACACATTAATTAGAGCATCTTATACCCCACTGAGTGATCTCTTCGTATAAGAGGGCATTCCTTCCGAAGCTGAAGGAGTTATTTCTTCTGTTCCAGATGATGTCTTGGAGTGGGGAAAATCTCCCAAAGGAAATTTTCAACTTTAGGAGTATTTCTCGGTTTAAAAGCTTCCACAAGGTCACTGATATCTTCTTCATCTACATCCTCCCTTTCATGACCATCAAAATAAACACCTTGATGATGTGTTTGATGCTTATAACCCAAAATTATCAACCAATGTCATGCAGTACTTAAGCTAATTAAAGCCTTTGCAGCCCAAATTCAGCAAGGAGAGACTCACCAACAAAGTTCTTAAACATTGTAAGTGTGGTTTTGCCATTGTTAAATCTTAACTAAGAATAATTGAAAAAACGAAATTCATATTTATCACCAAGGATCTTTTGATGAAATTGACAGCAAATCAAATCAGATGTTTACGACACTTGCCAATCACCAAATAATAAATTTTTAGTGACGATTAATTCATATACATATATTGATTTGTTTTTAATATAGTGCAAACATTCCATCAACTTTTAACAAGGGTGGTGAAGGACAAATTGCTGATCGTATGTAATTATCCAAAGTACACTTTTTGAGAACTTGAGGTTTTAATAATTTTATTATTTTGCCTGTAGTGCTATGCGTGACACTTTATCATCATATCCTGATTTTATATAGCCATTCAATATGTATATTAATATTGGGTATTTACCATGGTAATTATTCTCACTTCTTTTTATCATGGTGATAACACATTATAAGTTCTTTCTTGATTGTCTTTTAAAAACATGAACCATTGTAAAGATTTTTAGGTTATAAATATATATTGAAGTTATAGACAAATGTAGATAAATTTATAATTTTATTTTCAATAAAGTATGATTACTATTAAATCGCGCGTATTACGTCCCGTGATTTATCGGCCAATCAGAATGTTTGAAACAATAAAAAAAGTCACGAAATTACAAGGTCTATATAATGATAAAAATGCTCCAACTTTAAAAATTACACAACGATAGAAGCAGTTCTGAAACGGTTCTTCGTAATAAATATCACCAAACATAAGTGTGACCAATCGGCTAGTGTAAAAACAATTGAAATAATTTGTTACACAATTCGAATGTCCACCTGCTCAATAATAATAATAATAATGGAGAAAGAACTTCATTTTCATCAGTTTACTTTTTTTAGTTTTGAAATTCATGTGTCTTTAAAGGATCATCAATTTTAGTGGTGGCTTTAGATGACCTGCACAAAAGCCGTAAATATTTTATTATTGTTATTATTATTACTATTACTATTATTATTACTATCGCTATCTCTCTATTACTATTTACTGTTGCCATTACTTACTATTACTCTTTCAGAAAAAATGTGCACCATAATAACCATAATAATAACAATAACAATAATAATATATAAATGCGATTATTCGTTATGTCGTGTAACCTATATAATAACAATCAATCGATAAAAAAAAACTTTATCATCATCAAAAAGCAATTAATTAATCCAGAACTTTACAGCCACAGCTTAAAAACTTTATATTATATATATCGGAGAACATTACAATTATCAAGAAATAATTTATAAAAATGACGAATAAAAATGAATTAGAAAAATTGTTATTAAAAGATGTATCATTATTATATTCAACTGCTGACGATCACAATGTTTTAATTCAAGTTGGACAAGAACCAAACTTTCAAACTTTTAAAGCTCATTCTGTGATACTACGAGCCAGATCACCCTATTTCAAAGTGGCTTTATCTCCAAGTTGGGTTAGAAAAGAGGTTAGAAAAGAGGGTGAAATCATGTTATTACAAAAACCAAACATCTCTCCTTACATATTTGATATTATACTAAGGTATATATATATAAACAATATTTATAATAATAATAACAAATTTTTTGTAAAAAAGTATATATAAACAACTTACAATAAATCCCTTCAATATTATTAATTAGGTATTTGTACACAGGTGATATTACATTAAATGATGATAAATCAAGATCGGAATACTTAAATTTATTGATAGCAGCTGATGAATTAGCATTGTTGGAATTGATAGATTATATTCAAGGCTATATAATCAAGAATGAAGTCGATTGGATAAATCAAAACCTGGTACAGATTCATCAACTAACCTCAAAACATCAAGCTTGCGCAAAACTCCATGCATTTTGCCAAGAAATTATTGATAATGATCCTGCGGCAATCTTGAAATCGGAGGATAGCGTACTATTGGAGGAACAAGCATTGGTGGAATTGATTAGACGAGATGATTTGGAAATTGAGGAAATCGAAGTTTGGGATCAGGTGATTAAATGGGGACTTGCACAAGAGCCTTTCATTTGTAATAACGGTAATAACAATAGTATTAATAGCACAAGTAGTAATAGTAGCAATATTAGTAATATTAGTAGTACCATTAGTAATAATAATAAGAGTATTAATAATAACGATGATAGTAGTAGGAGGGATGTTTCAGAATGGGCGTTAGAAGATTTCCAAATATTTGAGCAAATACTAAAAAATTGTTTACCGCACATTAGGTTCTTTCAAATATCGGGGTCAGATTATCAGGATAAGATCAGACCTTTCAAGAAAATTTTAACAAAAGAATTGAAAAATGATCTAAAGAATTTCTATATAGCAAATAGAAATCCAACGCATTCAATGATGCTGCCACCTAGAATGTTTGGTATAACCAATAACGAGTCAAATATAATTGGTTGGAAACATTTTTGTAGAATCGCATCGTGGATAGATCGTAGAGATGATAGTCATCGATATCAACCAAGTGAGATGCCTTATACCTTTAAACTGTTATTGAGTGGTTTAAGAGATGGTTTGAAGGATCCTTCGGAATTTCATAAGCGATGTGATAATAAAGGTCCAACTATTGTCATTGTCAAAATATCACACTATAATAACAATGATAAAAACAACAATGATAACAATAACAACAACAATAACAACAGTAATAATAATAATAATAATAATAATAATAATAATAATAATAACAATAATAATAATAATAATAATAATAATAATAATAATAATAATAATAATAGTAATAGTAATAATAATAATAATAATAATAATAATAATAATAATAATAATAATAATAATAATAACAATAATAACAACAGCAACATTAACGATGGTAATAATGATAATAATAATAATAATGAAAACAATAATTGTCGTATAATTGGAGGGTATAATAATTTGGAATGGCATAGTAGAAAGGAGTGGATGGCCACAAGAGATAGTTTTATATTTTCGATGGATAATAGAAATAAAGTGATAAATTGTATACTTAGTAGAGTGAAACGATCCAATCGAGCTATTTGGGGTGCCCAAAGAAATCCTTGTTTCAGTTTTGATTTACAATGGTTTAAAGGAAAATGCTTACAAAGTTCCTATGAAGCTAAAATAACTGACAAAGAAGATTTTAATATTATTGATTACGAAGTATTTCAAGTAATAACGAACATTGATTAGATTGGGGGAATGAATAGATTATGAGAAGAAAAGGAGAGACTTTGAGATAGGGGAAGATGAATGAGATTGGAGATGAGGGCATTAGCATTGAAGCGAGAGTAGAAATCGTGAAGTGTTGTTGTTGCTGAATGTTTATGAATAATTTATACAGATGGTGATTATAATTAGAATTAGAATTATAATTAAGATTTATATTATCAATTAATTATTTATTTATTTTCTCTGATTACTTGATAGATTAGATTTCCTATTAATTTTTAAATCGATAATATAACTAAAATAACCTGCACTTTTTGTTGCTTTATATAACAAAAAAATATGCAAATAATAAAAAATAATTATTATAAAAAAGTAAATTAATGCTCAATTAAATTGATATAACGTGTGATCAATCAATAAAAGAAGGAATTGGGAATATGAAAACATAACAATGATGAAATTAAAAAAAAAATTCTATCAATTAATATACACAATAATAATAATGGTGGTGGTAGTTAATCTATATTTTTTTTTTCAAAGATATTATAAATAAATTAATAATAACAAGAGTATTTTACATTATAAAAAAATACTCTTTACTATTATTAATCTTTTATCAATCCTTATTATTTTGTAATAATGCTGCTTTTATTCTTTATTCTTTTATTATTTTATAATAATGATATTAATAATATTTAGAAAACATCTACACCTTCCATGAGAGATAATCTCTTAACATATTCTTCTATATTAGAAATTTCTGCGTCAACATCATCATTGGAATTATCCACATTGTCAACTTTTTTACTGCTAGTAGCAGTAGCACCGCTACTACCACTATTATCATTTCCGTGTAAATGACCATAAAACCATTTTTCCAATAATAAATAAACTTTTTCATTTAAAGGACCATAAAACAATAAATATAAAACATCCTCTTGTAAATAGCTATTATAATTAATATTAGTAAAATAAGACAGATCCTCCTCCACACAATCATTAAGATTATTGAAAACAATCATAAGAGCATCAACTATACCAACATCAATAAATTGCTTTGCATAAGGATTTTGTGAAATTGTTGTTTGTGATGACCTGCACATATCACCGACTGATAATATATTAACAAATAGTTCAATAACTTTATGCAGAAATTCCTCGGGTGTTGATAAATTTTTTAAAATTGGTAAAAGTGGAGCAAGTATATCATATTGTAAAATAAAACTATGACGTTGATAATGATAGTGAGGGCGAGTATAATAGTCGGAACAAATGATAAAAATAATATAATTATAATAATATGGTTAAAATTTATTATTATTATTGTTATGATTAAAAGAAATCTTACTTTGTGTGACCAGGATCATGTAATCTTGTAACGTTGCTAAGTACCCAACATGCTTCTTTCACAACTCTTATATCACTATCCCAAAGTAACATGACAATATGATCAATTAGACTTGGTTCTTTAAGAACGGCTTCTACCTAAATAAAATACAAAAAAAAGATTAAAGTGATAATGAAAAAAAAACGACGACAAGATTGAATTCGGAGGAAATTATTGTATTATAATTAACTAACCTGACAAAAAGTACCAGCGGCTATATTTGAAATGGCAAGACAAGCATAACGCCTTAATGTTGTATTTTTGCCTGTTAAAAACAAATTTGCTAATGTAGTTAATGCACCTGCATCTATTACCGATTGTGTTTGTTTTTCTATTATCATTATTAAAATTTTTTTTAAAAAAATATTTATATTAGTATATATTTATATGATATGTAAATTGAATCATATGTGCAAAAAAAAAATTAAACCTGTTCCGGATGTAATGTTAACTATAGTACGTAGAACAGGCAAATGAATTGAAGAATCATAATTTTTTTTGCTGCATAATTTTTTTAAAATTATTGATTATTGAGAATTGATGATTACAATTAAATCAAAATTTATAAATTAGTTAAATCGGTTACTTTAGTATCTCAACTAGACGACGACATAATTTATTATCAACTATCAAATTACAATCTTGGCGATGAGTACCATTCAATATTCTAGACATTGCCCAACTATAACAATAATATTAAATAAAAGTGTATTTATATATGTTAATAAAATAAAAAAAATTAATTTTAATATTTACCAGGAATCTGAAATTATCTCGGCATCATCTAATTGTACAATATCTGCAAAAATTGAAAATGCTCCTGAAATCTGATTGATTAATAATAGTAATAATACCAACATTCCAAAATCAATATTAATGAATTAATAATAATCATTACTATTATTATTTCACACATATGCTTACTGATGACCAAGAATCATATGCAGAAGAACAAGCACGACAAAGATTTGCAGCGGCCCAAACAGTTATCCTAACAATCATATAATTGTATCGACCATAATTCTTCAACAAATAAATAAATGTATCAAGTACACCGGTTGATAAAATAATATCCCTGAACGTTGATCTATCTCCTGCTATATTTCCCAAAGCCCATATAATCTATATGATAAACATTATTTAATAATCCGAGTGAATCTTTGTTTCTTTGATTACAAAACTGCACCATGCAATCAGTCATCTAACTAATTGTTTATTTATTTATCAGATACCTGTGATTGCACTTCCATTTTATTTGATTTTGTTAAAACATCAACAAGATGTTGTATAACACCGGCTGAAACTATTACTTGAATCTGTCGTGTAGAACCAGCCTAAAATCATTCAATTCATTAGGCAACAATAATAATTATATAATTTATAAATTTTAAAAATATAAAATGAAATATTACAGCTATATTTGTGATAATCCAAGCTGTTTCATACTAAAAATAGAATAAATATATACATGAATAAAAAATATCATTTTATTAGCAGGTTAAAATAAATAACAATTTCTCAAGTTAGTTAAATTTTCTTTCACCTGTAACATATTATCATTATGATCTTCAAGAAATTCGATGAGCAAAGGTACTATATCTAAATCAAGAACATTTTCAACCCTTTGATCAACTTTTTCTTTTTGTTTAAAGAAAAAAAAAAGGATTATATTATTATCTGAATCAAATATCTGACAATCATGCTAATTAAAGAGACGACCGATAATTAGATAATTAATTACGAAAAGAAAGATATTTTCGAAGTCTTGTAATTGCAGCAAGACGAAAAGAAGGAATTTTAGAGTAAACAGCTGCAATAATAGCTTGTGAATATCTTGGCAGCTAAATAAATTATTATTAGCACACGCACATAACCATCATAAGCATCGTATTCAATATAAGCATCATAGCCATTATATATAATCAGTATAATCACTGATAATATTAATAATAATCGTTATCGTTCGTTACCAACCAAGTCAGATGTATCACAAACAGGTAAACCATCATTAGTTTCCGACATATCGACATTATCATCATTAGGAGATACAGATAAATTTGCTAATTTACGATTCAAAAATTCTAAAATATCTGAATCTTCTCCCGCTATAGTTTTTTTAGTATTTGATGAAGACATTTTTTTGAAGGAGGAAAAAGAGGGCGAAAAATATTATTTTGAAATTTTTTTATTTTTATTTGTCATGTCATACGTGACACAAAAAGAAGTTACACTTGAAAAAAAAAATTATATAGGGATACTTTGAGGAAATTTAAATAATTGTTGTGGATCAACATTTGATTTCAAAATTTGTAAAGTTTTTAAATTGTCACCATAATATCTAGTTGGCCAATCGTCTAAATCCCTATCTATATAATTTATGTAACTGGAAGGAGATGTGAAATCACGTTGGAATGATTTACCGAAATCGTTAATTTGTTTAATACAAACGTTTCCTTGTTTGTCTGATTTCCAACCCGATGTTAATAATTGTATACCGTAGAAGAAATCCAAATGTTGTAAGATTGATTTATTAGGATTGACATTAATACCACCAGCGAATACATCGAATTCAGCAAATGTATCACATGGGATTTTCTTTAGAAATTCCACTAATGTGTCTAGACCATTGGTTGATAACCCTGATTTTCCGACCAAGAAGGATTTAGCTTTAAAGTTATAAGGTGTAATTTTCGGATTTATATTTCTAGCTCTTGACTCAAACGAAATTCTAACCACCGAATCAAACCACGATTCTTCGAACAATTGCAAACCTTCAGAACCAACATCATTTAAAAATGCATTCATTACTTTTGATGCAGAATTCTTATCGCCCAAATATACACCAGAAAGTGCAATTTCATCTGACGTGAGTACGACATTGAATGTAAGATCTGTCGTGAGTCCATTGCTGTTTTTGTGCACTGAATTGAAAACTTTATGTAGTTGTTGAGTGGTTAGATCCCATGTAATACCAATTGTGGTGACTTTTGGAACAATTTGGTGAATTCTGATTGTGAAAGATGTGACGATTCCAAAATTACCACCGCCACCACCTCTCAATCCAAAAAATAAATCCGGACGATTATTTGTATCGACTGTAATGGATTCACCGGATGCGAGCACCATTTCCACCGATACTAATTGATCCGACAATTTACCGAATTTTCTTACCAAATTTCCAATTCCCTGTAAAAAATTAATATAAATGAATATGAGATAGATGTAGGCATATGGAGGATGGACGCTAGTCCATTAAATAAAGATGCTGGCAATACTTACACCACCTAAAATATGGCCAGAAATACCAACTGAAGGGCAAGTTCCGGCTGGCACCACATAATTATCTTTAGATAAAGCAAAATAAATATTTCCAAGCCTATTACCAGCACCAACCTTAACTAAATTGTTGGTTTTGTCGATCTGTATCTGATTGAAATTTTTCAAATCAACCACCAAAGCACCATCTTTGCCACCCAACGAATAACTCTCGTAGGAATGCCCGCCTGATCTTGGTGTTATATTTAAGTTGAAGGATTTAGCGCATTCGATAGCTAATTGTATGTCTTTAACTGAATTTGGAAATACGATGGCGTTGGGCAAGAATTCTATAGCAGAGTTTTCATCGATGATTGTAGAGTTGTAATTGGGACTTGATTTGAATACTTTTTCACCGGTTATTGGTTTTAAACAATCCTCAAAGGCATTTTGATTAATTGCGCGTTTTCTATAAAGTTTAAGATTATGTATATTATTAATTGCAAGGATTTCTTCTGATATTATTATTAAAAAGAAAAGGCATGCATGTATTTTGAAACGCATATTTTTATTAAATTAATCAATTAATTAATTATAAAAATTTTAAAAAAAATACTTTCCTCTATATATATATATATTAATATATATATAAATATTAATTGCCATGACGTTGATTTATTTTTAGAATTGACGCGTGTAATGCATGGTATTATTTCATTGATGTAGTATTATTAGGTCAATCATTCAAACCAAAATTAAAAAATTAATTAGTGTATAAAAAATAATTAACAATAATATAAATATTATCTAAAAAGGAACAAATTTTTTCTAAAAATATGATTTAGTATGATTTAAAGTTACCTCTTAAAGGTAACCAATACTTTTGAATCGAATAAAGAAAAAGGATTTGCTACAATAAAAATAAGGATGGATTACTCTAACAAAAAAAAAGATTAATAATTTGTGGTTCCCAAATATTAATTTAATATACTACTTTTTTTAAAACTCTTGTCCGTTTTTTTGATAGTTTGCAATTACATAGTAATTCAACAAAGAGTAAAAAAAACGGAAATTAATTATTAAAAAAGTAGTATTAATATTTAATATTAATATTAGAACCTCTCTGACCTATGTAATGCCTTCTTTTAATTAATCAATATCATAATAACCACGCAATCACAATCGCAATCACAATCATCATCATTATTAATAATTAATGAATGAAATTCAATAACGATTAAAGGAGAGAAGTCAGATGCCAGTGAAACAATATCACAACTTCATCAATAAGAGAATAACAATTTTAGCTTTTTTATTTTTGACGATAAAATAAACAAAATATACTTTTTTTTTGTAATTACATGTCACATGATCAAATCCTGTTTGAAACAGAACGACACATCAAGTGTACCTCGCTCCATATTATTTATTTGATATGGAAGAAACCTTTTTTGGAGTTTATAATAACATAAAACATTATCATTTAATAATGACCTTGTCTTGTTGGTGAAATTTTTTAAAAATCTAATGCCTATTACTTCTTTGCATAAGTTTCGAGATTGTTGGATCTCAAACTTTAAATCGGAAACTGAAATAAAATCGAAATTAAAACTGAATTTTATATTCTCACAATGATTGGTAAGATATTATTTCATCAAATGAAGGCTTCCGCATGGGCTACTATCATTAGAATATTTACAATTCGTTCCTTTTGGTATCTGGTAAAGGTATTTCGAGTAGGATTATTATTATTATTATTTGATTTTTGGTTTCGATTTTCGTTGAGGATATTTTGATTTCGAAAACTAGTTGTATTTTTTCAAAGGTTCCGATTGAATTTCTCCGTCATACATGGTTTCTTTGCAATAATTACTTCATAATACATACAAGAAACACAAAGTAAAATTGGGCTGATATAATATCACTTTATATTATATAATGTTCTGGACAAAAGGCTGGAAATAATGGCACGCTTTTATGTTAATCGTGATAGTAGAGATCTACACGGGCTAATTTTGCATGTAATAATAATAATTGTTATTGTTTATATACTTAAAATCATATGTTATTTTTTATTTGTTGAACATTTATGGTCATATTCAATTACACATTTTTGCCCCGAGTCTGCATCTACAGTTTTTTTTAATTGTGTGTGTATATATATATTCAGCAGAAATAAATTTTAATAAAACAGTTACTTTATAAACAACTGGCACTTTTCTTCTTTTATTGATAATCGATAAAATCGTAACTCTCTTGCTTTTATTATATGTCATCATATAAAAAATCTCATTCTTTAAATTCATATCTCGGGTAACCATTTAAATATTAATATTACAATTACGTAAATAGTAAATTCAATTTTTTACCCTTGTTGATATAAAAATTTAATCAAGTTTTCAAATTAGGCATAGAATACAAACGATAATAAGATTTCAATTGACAAAAAACAATTTATCTTTTCTTGAAAAACGTAGAATTTGCAAAGAGCTTTTAGCTAATAATAATTAGGGAATTTTTTATAGAAATGTTATCTTTTCATAGAAAAAAGTCATACATTTCCTATTCTCCTCATTAAAGACGACTCTCGATATAAAATTTGCTGTGCCAGCCAGACCTATAAATTTGACTGCATATCTATAATTAGATCCGACTGCTTGGTTCACTGTAAACACGTGATAAAATGATGCCAAATTTTTATATAATTTATAATTTATTTTTAGCAATGACATCAGCATATAAGCATAACAATGACAGCTACTACTTCTGCTACAGATGATCAAAAACAATCTTTATGATACATATTGTGTCAAACAAGATGTACAACAATCTTTAGATTTTTTTACCGTAGTGTTACCAGAATTAAGATTTAACGCTAATTTGTTAGTCGAAATACCCTAATTCCGAACCAAATTTTTATTTCTATTTTTATTTTATTTACTTTATTTTTATATCCACTTATTCATTTATTCCTTATATTTGATTTCTTATTTTATTTTTATCTATTATTAATATTTATTTACATTTTTATTATTTTATTTGTATTACATTTTTATTTTTATTCGTATAACGTCGAAATTAGTTGACTTTATTTAGAAATTAGCGTCGCGGTTAGAATGGTATAGCAACATTTACATTAACAGTCATGATTTAATGGTAATAGTAAAATCATTGATCATCCCAGAAAAGGAAAGAATGTGATGATGATCTTCTCTAATGGTTTCTTGGATTTTTTAGGTAGGATGAAATGGTTTATTTGATAATGATGAGCCATTGTCATTGCCAGAGAATAATTTTCTACTGGAACCAAGTTGAGTTTTTTGATATGTTTTTTCCCAGATTTAAAATTGGTGTTAGTTTCTTTCTCTTGAAAAATAAAATAAAAATTTTCTTGAGGATTCAAAAAATACTTGACATCCTATGTTTATGTATGATAATGTGATGTTTTGAATAATACATAGTTGCAAGTTAACTGATTTACTCAAAGCCTGAAAATACTTTGAACTAAGGTTGTGGGTGAAACCTCCTTAGTAATTGCTGAAACCATGGCAAAACTATATTAAATCTTATCAAAAATCCTGTTGAAACTATGCTGAAATGGCAAAACCTCAAAA